GGACAATGAACTCATGCCTGACCCTCTTTGTAGCAAGAAAATTCTTGAATTTTTGATCACGATACCTCTATTATCTGTTCTGAGACACTTCAGCTTCAAGTCTGTCTAATTTTTCTATCATAACATTTTATTTCTTAAAGACTTCAAATACATCATATTTCTGCTTTAAAAAATAAACCCATACATTTTTTGTGTGATCATCAATCAATGTTATAAAATAATGAGAAACTCCAATGGACTGAACTGGATTAGGACCCCATACGTCAGTATGCACTAACTCCAGTACTCCAATGGACTGAACTGGATTAGGACCCCATACGTCGTCAGTATGCACTAACTCCAGCTTTTTTGTTTTCACCAATGATCTGCTCTCGGAAAAGAAACTTTCTTCTGCTTGCCATAAATACAATCTTCACAGAAATACACATCAACAAATTTTAGACTCTGAAGCTTTTTCTTTGAAAGTAGAGATTTCATACATTTCTCGCTCATATGACCAAACCTACAGTGCCACAGACCTAGTCCGCCCTGGTTTTTACCGCATCAATAAAATCAATCATTTTATTGATCGAATAAAAGGTTTCTTCAATGTTGGCCCGAGTCATCACCAATGCCCCTAGGTCACATTCCACGAATCACCTGTGAAAGTAGCATGAGTCCTCACTTTGCCAGCTGACTCATAGATATATGATTTTTTTTCAAAGTAGGAATATGTCTAACTTTAGTAAGCTTCGAGATTGCTCAATTCGACAACTTAATATTAACATCACCCTTTCCTACTATACTGCAGATCTTGTTATCACCCAAATAAACTTTTCCTAGGTCACATTGAGTGTAGTTTTTAAATACCTATTTATTGGTGCAAGCATGAAAAGAGACCCCTAATTCCACTATCCAGGATTTAGTGCTGACATTAGTAAAAATACTACTTTCTTGTCCTCTACCATCAACCTTCGTTGGAGCTTTACAACCATCTTGAAATGATCTTTCTTACCGCAGTTTCAAATTTCTCCCATGCTTGACTTGGGCTTTCTTTTCTTGGACTTGGATCTGCCTTTGCATGCATTCTTGCTTTGATTCCTTCCCTTGTTATCAACATTCAATGCAGAATTTGAAGATTCACTATTTGTTGTTTTTTTGCGAACTTCATTCAGCATCAGACCCACTATGTCACTGAAGTTCAACTTCGAAGTCCATAAAGAATTTACTCACCGTTGTTACCAAACCATCCCATCTTTCCTGCAATGAAGTTGATGTCACGAGTACTCTGACCTCATTATCAAACTTAACCCCCACAAAACACAACTGACTCATTACAATGTTGAAGTTATTGAGATAATTTGTCGCTGAAGTGTCTTCCATCATCTTCATGCTGAATAATTTATTTATTAAAAAAGTTTTATTGGAAGTAAAATGTTTTTCATACATCTTGGCCTGTGCCGTCATCAGATCCACCGTAATTCTCATTCACAATGTTGAACGCAACAGATGAGGAAAGTGTCAATCTGATCAAACCTAGTGCCGTTAGATCCAACACTTCCCATTTCTCCATAGAGATAGATTCATCTTTTTTTATAATTCCTTGTAGTGACAAATAAATTTTTTTGATACAACAAATCCTCCACCTGCATCTTACAGAGTGCGAAGTTTGTCCCAGTGAACTTTTCCAACCAGAGCCTTATGTTTTCTGCTATTGCTCCCACTCGAATTGAACATCACTCTGATACCAGTTTGTTAAGAAAACTATTGCGAAAGAGTCTCATTTTTAATTTCACCGCGGAATAAGATCACAGGATTCAAGAAAACTGGAACAAAAAATTTAAACACAGAAGTACAATCAAAATAATCAGAAAAACACACAGGAAGTTTATGTAGAAAAACCCGAGAGGGAAAAAACCACGGAGCTACTCCATAAATTTCAATATATAATTCAGAAAGTTTTATAAAAAAACTCACACAAGTTTCTACTCCACACTCACACGAGGAAACTTACAGGTATTTTGATCCACGTTAAAATTATCTGTTTTTAGTGCATATTTAATGATCATTTTATGCATATTTTTAGTGATATTGCACTTTAAAGGAATGTATTTTGTATGTTTTTGGTTTCAGGTACATGTTATTGATATTTAGAGAAAATGCGAGAAAAATGAGCAAAAATAATGCAAAGTTGAATATCATCATAGCGCCACCCCTTGGTGCTATCGTGCTAGAGACGTGAGCAGAGGGCGCTATAGCGCCCAGATTGACGCTATACCGCCAGTAACTTCCCTTTTAGAAGGTCCATTGATTTTGACCGAATTTTAAAGGGGTGTATGAAACAATCATTGGTTATTTTTAGAGATCTATTAATATGCACAAAAATTGAACGAAAAAGAGGATTTTTTGATAGCATTTGAAGGCTTTAGGAAGTCTCACTTTTGTGTTTTAGTATGAATTTATGTGTGTTTTGTGTTGTAAGAGTAAGAGTTTGGAGATTTCTTCAAGAAGACTCCAAAATTTGTGTTGGGGAGAAGACATAAGATACTTTGTATTTATGTTTAAGTTTTTGTTTCTAAGACTTGAATTTCAATACAAATTTGATATTTTTATTTTATTCTCCATGAATTCTGAGTAGTTCCTCTTCTTTTTCCTTGCTTTTGGGAATTAATCTTGTGGGATGAGAATGATTTAAATATTATTTTTTACCTTTAACAATTGTGATGATATTTTCACCGATTCTTCATTAACTTTACAAATTAGTCACTTGTAATGTTAAAATCCGTTGAGAAATATAAAAACCCGAGAGGGCTATGACTTCACCCAACTAGTGAATGACACACTTCATTTTGGGCAGAACCGTTGCGATCACATAAGGGGGAGTGCAAATTGATAGAGAGATTAGTTTTGATGGACGTAGAATTGATGTTTCTAGTGTGACAGACTAAATTCTTTTTCAAATTCGGTTTAGAGTTTGAATCGTAAGGGTTCCTAATAGGTCCTATAGAGAGGGCACAATGGGTAAGCGTAGAATTGATGTTTCTAGTGTGACAGACTAGATTTTTTTTTCAAATTCGGTTTAAAGTTTGGATCGTAAGGGTTCCTAATAGGTCCTATAGAGAGGACACAATGGGTAACCTGAGGAAGAGAGGCCAGAATCTACCCATCACTACTACAGAAACTAGTGAAAAACTCTGAATTAACCAATGTTCTTTGCTAGGACTGGGAGGGGGTAAAGAATAAAAATGCTCTTATTTGTCACAATACATTATCATATTTTTAATCATTAAAATCCTTCATAGATTAATATCTCATTGCAAAGTGAAATATCTTTAGATATTATTTAAACTCGTTAGAATTATTTTTATTAAACTGTTAATTATAGTTGTTTCCATCTGCTTTAATTTAGTCTTAAACGTTGCTATCATTTTTTTTTTCATTTAAATCTGCAACTTAGATAGAATTTGCTCTTGAGTTTAGCAAACCAATTTAAATAGTTCAACTATTCTCGTGGGATCGATACTAGAGGTTTTTAAGGAAAATTCTATATTACTTGGAACGATACATATACTTACGTAGTATCTATAGTGTGAAATTTTATTATTTATTATCCATATCATTTCATTTATTCACACCAGCCGCTGAATATAATTTGGGTTAAATTTTTGACAATATTTTGGAGATTAAAAAATGCACGTAATTGCGAGTCATGTCAGATTTGCGTCAACAAACATCCCTCTTAAGATTCAACACAAAAATTACGCTATAGCACTGAAATCCACATCTTCGACATGAAATCCACATCTTCGGCACTCCTCATATTCACAAGGATGCTTATCAAAAAATACAAAGGAAAGAAATAACAAAACTCAACAAAAAAGCTTGAAATCGGTATTAAAAACTGTAATCCTGTCACTAACTGTTCCGGGCGCTTGGGCATCGATCTCTCGGGTAGCTGGCGCCCTAGTGCCAGAAGTTTACTACGAGTTGAGGCCATGTTCCGAACAAAGATCATGCACCCAACTATTTTGAGGTCTAATGTGAACAACTAGTTTATAAGAAAACACGAAATTATTACTGCTAATGAGGCTCAAAAGTTGTGAATTTTTGTGGGGAACTCTATTGATGAGATATGCGGCTAAAAATGTTTTGGGATATTTGATTGAAACATAATGGAACAAGTAGCTTTAAGGAGTTTTTATATTAGATATCATTATAGTGTAATGTCTGATTTACCCTTAGGCAACACTACAAGTTTGCCACTCCTCTGCTAATATTAACAGCTTTGTATTGTTTTTATGATTAAGATGAATAAGATGTTTCAGCAATTATCTTTTTCAGACTTTTCCCATTTCTTCTTCCTCTCTTGTTGTCTTGGTCATTAAAGTCTTCGTTCATTAAAGTTTAGGTACCATTAAATTTATGGAGATCGTAACTGCATGCTAAATATTTTCCAAGAAAAATGATTATTTCTTTTTATTTTTCATTTGTATTGTTTGTTTTTAATTTTTCAAATTAAAATCATTATTATGATTTCCTTTGAAATAATTTATCAGTGTATTTTGTTTTTTCATTTTCAGAATACGGAACACACCATGGCTTGGGCAAGCTTGGTAGTGGGATACGTATTTGTGAGTATTTGTAATATGATTTTATATTTATTTATAATAAATAATTATAAATCTAAAGCAAATAATTTAGAGCTACTCATATTTTCTATTTCTGACATAATAGTCTAATTTACAGGGGCAAATATCAATCCTGATTTGCTATTATTTGTTTTTCTTCCCGCCCTACTATTTGAAAGTTCATTTGCAATGGAAGTGCATCAGATTAAGGTATACCATGATGCTAGATATTTTTTCAGAGGTTTATGCTTTATAATTTCGCCACTACACATATCAATCTGTGAAGCTATAAGAATTTCTAAGGCGATTGACCTTCCACTATAAAAGTATTCAAATAAAGTTGCAGTTGCACTTGCACTGATATAAATTGTGCAAATCAAATCAAGCGAGCAAACCATCACTTTGTATGACGGATCATCTGAAATTGTCTTTCTAGAACTTATTGGTGCAAGGAATTATTGAACTATTGCTATCTTCTGCAAAAATTAACAACATGATGGTGGGAATTTTAGTTTTCAATAGTCTTGATAATTTGTACTTTTGACCACTATTGTATTACTTTTGAAGTGTCACGACTTGACTTAGTGCTTGGAATTAACTAAGGCGAAAACAGAAGGCCGGGCGGTGTTAATCGAACTTTTAGTTTCATATTATACTACTAACATTTTAAAATCTAAAATAATTTTATAGTGACACTAATGAATTTAAATAACATAAGTTGAGAATTACCTTTCTTTCGATTTCGACATAACCTTCTTTTTCTTCCCAACTCTAACCTAAGTGTTAAATCTGAAATTGTGAGTTTAAAATAAAAGTGAGCTAACCATAACAAGCGAATACTTATATTCTTAAACTATGGTAATATAATGAAAAAAGAAAATAACATGAATGTCAATTAAACTTTATGTAAGTCAATATAAGAGCATTTGATGGTTACCATCTAATATGATTATTCAAGATTATTTTAAATATTAATTACGTTTTATTATATCTTTTAAATATCAATATTTTTTTAATCTATATACAGCCGTTGCAGAAAGACCGTCTAAAACTTGTACCAATGAATGTGCCTAAATATCAATGTCTATTTATATTTACATGCATGTGTTCCTTACTGTTCTCTTGCTAGTACCATAAATATTTGAATTCTATTATAGTTAATGTGCACATGCAACTATACTATAAAAACCATCATATAATAATGATCATTTCATTTTCACTTGTATAATAATTAATACAATTTATAGCATTCAATATTTTTGATAATTTAAACTATGCTAAATACATGCATCATTTCTATAATATGAATAAAAATTCAGTAGAACTGATAAATTATGAGTATGCAGTGATATCCATATAACTACAATAACAATAAATGTATTTGATCTAGAAGAGGCAAAAATATTACCATAACATAAGAATACGAGTACTCACTTTGATTTCATCTTAAGAAATGATTATTTCAAATTTTTAACTTTATCTTTCACAACTTAAACTTTCTCACATAATTATATTTCATAATATTCTAACATTAATATGTAGCAATTTATAATTAAACTAATTTTAAATGATTGTCAAATAAACATTAATCTTACATCCTCATCTCTTATTCTTTAGCACAATCCGACCTCGATCTACCTTTTTAATTTGCTTTGATCATTTTTCCACATTTAATCATTAATATTAGTTTATATTTTTAGTATAATTTAATATCAATTTATGCTATTTAGTATAATTTTAGAATAATTAACTAATGAAGTAAAGTAACTTGTATAATAAGAATTTGGAACCTTTACTTTAATTGTCATCAACTTTTCTTGATCCAAACCAAATTTTCCATGCTTTTATATTTTATAATTATGAGTTTTAAATTCATAAATAATAATTAATACTATTCAATTAAATATAAAACATATCCCAAATTAAAAATCAACCCTAACCTTATAAAGCATTGGTTCGGCTCAGTCTAAATCTCCCGCATGAGAGCAAATCCACAACTTTCACCGCCACTCCTCTTCTCCTCCTTCCTATTCGCGCACAAAGGCGCTCTTCTCCTTCGTCCCGCTAGAACCCGCACCACAGGCATTCAATTCTTTCTCTTCTTTACACAAGAAATCATTGATGCTCCTCTTCTTCTTTTTGTCTGCTCGGATTGGTTTTCTCTCACCTCCTTCTTGCACGCAAGGTGCTCCTTCCTCTTGCTTCCTTCGCGTGCAAAACACACGCATGCCTCTTTCTCACTTCCCTCCGCTTGATTGCAACATACACATGGTTCATTCATCGTCAGTGTTGCCTTCGGCTTCGAGCGATGCTTGTGGAAGCCATAATTTGCGCTCATCGATCGACTCACCAAGTAAGCCGTTCACGATCAGAGTATTTACATGCGATGTCATGACCTTACCCGGGATTTGGAATTAACCAAAACGAAAACAGATAGTCGAATGGTGAGAATTAAAATTTTTATATTTTATTGCTATTTAATAAATGAAAGAACCCCTAATTAAATTAAATTAAAACATTATATTTAAATTTACCTCGTTTTTGTTTGTTTCATGTCTTCTATAAATATTATCCCTTTCAATTAAATAAATCTGAAAAGTTAGTTTAAAAAGAATAACATGCTAAACAAGCTAGTAAATACTAACATTCCTAAACTACAGTAATATAAGAAAAAAAAGTAAAATGCATGTCAGTTAAAAGGCTGTCTTCTCTTTTTTCTAGCGGCTTGCCTAGCTGCTTTGGAGATGACCTCGACGATGCGTTCCTATGCGAGTGCACTTGTCGTTGACTTTCCTATTCTTTCGTGCTCATTTTTCATGTTCAGAGCCTGGTTTTCATATTGACAAGTTCTGCAATGTTTTACAATCTTTCCACAATGCTCTTGAAGGTGGTGGTGATCACACTTTCATTAAAAAATTTGGTAAAAAAATGAGAAGTATACTATTATTCTCACTAAAATTGAAACCAGTATTCTCTCGTTCTCTTGACGTTTTGTTCTAGTGGGGAATTTTCTTTATGGTCATCCAAAACTTGAGATTATTCGAAAAAAGTTTCCTCTCGCAGTTTGACGCACCCGAGTTTGCTCTCATCGCCGCAGATTGACGTGGCTGTCTTCTAATTTTTCTAGCGGCTTGCCTAGCTGCTTTGGAGATGACCTCGACGATGCGTTCCTATGCGACTGCACTTGTCGATGACTTTCCTATTCTTACTCGTGCTCATTTTTCATGTTCAGAGCCTGGTTTTCATATTGACAAGTTTTGCAATGTTTTACAATCTTTCCACAATGCTCTTGAAGATGGTGGTGATCACACTTTCATTAAAAAATTTGGTAAAAAAAATGAGAAGTATACTATTATTCTCACTAAAGTTGAAACTAGTATTCTCTCGTTCTCTTGACGTTTTGCTCTAGTGGAGAATTTTCTTTATGGTCACCCAAAACTTGAGATCATTCGAAAAATTTTTGATTTTATGAAGCTATTGAACAGTTAGAATATTGGATTACTTGACGATCGACATATACTTATTCATCTTATGATGCCGATTACACTCGCATTTTTTATCGAAAAGTTATCAAGATCGACAACTGTTTTATGAGAATTCTAAAGTGGAATGTCGATTTTGATCCAAAAGCGGAGTCCCCTATCGTTCATATTTGGATAAAGTTTCCAGAATTAAAATTATATTTGTTTTACTTGAAAATTCTCTAATCCTTAGCAACTGCTTACGGTAAGTCTCTCAAGGTTGATAGTCCTATGCTTGCTGTCACCAGACCTTCTGTGGTTTGTGTGTTAGTTGAGAGAGATATTACTGAACCAGCTCTGTATTAAGTATGAATTGACACCACTCACAACAGATATTTGTAAAATGTTAAAATAGAACCACACCCTCCCTATTGCTCTCATTGTAGTATGTTTGGCCACAATTCTACTATTTGTTATCGCTTGCATCCTCATCTAAGACCAAATACTGCTAAAGATCAGTCACCTACCATCCCTGTTGAGAAGGTGCAACCCGATCTTCTTTCCAACACCGCAGTTCCCGATGAAGAACACCATACTACAAATACATATCCAAATGTGCTTATATCTCTCACTGTTATTGAAGAAGACCCACTTACATGCTAAGACACACGAAATTGTTCCTTCGATCCAATTAAAGATTAGCTGGTTCAATAAGTAGTTGTTTCTAATGTTCAACACTCTACACATGCTCGACACACTTTAGACCAATTCACTGATTAGGTGAGCCAATCTCCGGATGAGGAATGATAGGTCTATTGCAGGAGGAAGAAGAAGAATGGAGGCCGATTCGAGCTCGGGAACTTATTGGATTACACATTGGTTATCACTGACAATGACACTCATCTTACCAATTTATTAGCTGGCTCCTTTTCTAGAACTAGAGGCAGATGCAAGACAAAATTGAGTCGCTCTCTAGCTACCCTATACTCCGTATTTTGTCACTTTTTGGTTTTTTCTTTTTGTCTCTCATGTATTTTTTGTATTTTCTATTTTTGGAACCATTTGAATGTGGTGGTTATAGTGTGGCCAGGGTGTCATGTTTGGGCCCTCCCACACAATCAACATTTGAATGTGGTGGTTATAGTGTGGCCAGGGTGTTATGTTTGGGCCCTCCCACACAATCAGTATGTATCTTACTTTCTATTTAATATATTAGCCATTGAGCTTTTTTAAAGAAAAATATAACCGTCATAAAGACTGTCTAAAAATTGTACCACTTAAGACACTTCAATATTAATATCATTTTCTATAAACTTACACGGATGCCTTATTGTTATTTCATAAATATCATAAAAAAACAACTCTATCACAGTGAGTCACGTACATACAAATTTTCTATCAAAATCACTATTTATTAAGAATATATTTTATACACATTTGCTTATCAGGCTTATTCTCAATGGGAAAAAAAATCCTACCTTTTCCTGCACGCTAGTCCTCACATTCTTCTTTGGCTCGATCGCCTTTGCACGCGAGAGATCCGTATCGAAAGCCTGGCTTCGGCTTTCTCTCCCACACGAACGCATGAACTCAACGCTTCCCTTCCCTCTCTGTGATGTTTCTTCATGTCCTCTTCTTCTTATCTGGTACGCTAGGGCACAAACTCTCCTTCGCCGCTCCGTCCTCCTTTGCTACTCGACCAAGTTGTCGTCGTCCATTGCCTCCGACTAGGAAGCTCTAACTTGTGCCGTTAGGCTCTTCGGTAAGTAACTCTTTTCTCTGTCGCCCCTTCTATGCGAGATTTATACACGAAAGTATTCATTCGGCTTCCCGGCTGTTCAATTTCTCTCTTTTTCCTTCGGTTTCCTTGACTCCTTACTACAACTTCTTCGGCTTCGTCATTTTCTATTCCGTCTGATCGTTTCTTCTTCCCCGAGTAACTGAAACGAAACTTTACATGTGAGGTCAGAATTTAATGAAATTACCTCACACATAAAATTTTGATTTATTCAATGAAATGAACATTGAACTTCCACAGGCCTGGTTAAATTTTGGAAGAGAAATTTTTATTCAACTAAAGTTAATGATTTATATGCCTCAAAATATTTATTGTTTGGCATGCGGTTGAGTTAATCAAGGGCAGTAAAGTCTAAGTATAGACTTTAAACCTTATCCAAAAATCATGAATTTAAGGCAATCACATAATACACACAAATGGCTGAAAACTGGAATATAATTTTTAATTTAACCAAGTGAGTTACAGGTTTCAGAATGGTTATTTATGGACTTTTCATCTTTTGGTTAGTCTATATATTTGGCTTGTGATCGACTCAAATTTACACAAGATAAACATCAAATTTAGACTTGAACCTAATCCGAATTTAGCAATTAAAAAAATCGAAATAACATACTCGCACTTTTTTAGAAGGCAGCCCATAGACAATAACGGTACATACAAATGGTGGCATAGATATAATAACGATATTCCTAGTAGCGTTAAATTCACATTATATTCTCACATTAATCTAATTGGCATGGAAAAAATTGGCTTTGATGAATTGTGCTTTTATTCTGACCATGATGATAACGTAATGGGAACCTTAGGTAGCACTTGAATTGAACTTGATGGTAACAAAGAATCAATCTGATCTCTTACAAAACAATGCAGGCCAATCTAAATTTGGGAAATGTCAAATACATCCTTTTTGATGACCATCATTACATGCATGTCTCAAACTATAGAAATTATAAAATAAAATAAACCAGCTAATATATTTTTCTCGTATCATTTCTTTCTGCGATGCTACTAACGCGAAATGCAAATGACATGGTTAAATTCATTCAAAATAGAGATAATGGTAATCATCACAAAAGTTTGCTCTTAACTGGTGCGGGAGGATAAAATTTTATAAAACTAACCCTTATGACAAGGCTATGCCCTTTAATGGTTATCAAGTTTATTTTAGCGACATGTTGCTGCAGAGATGTTTTATGCAAATGTTGCTACTCGCCGGACCTGGAGTTGTACTATCGACCTTCTTCCTTGGAACAGTATTAAAGGTATTCTTTAACAAGGTTAGTATTTCTTGGTGAAATGTGTACACTATTCTAATTTTAACTTTACTTTGCAGTTTACATTTCCGTACGGGTGGGACTACAAGGTGTCATTATTGTTGGGAGGTCTTCTTAGTGCCACAGATCCTGTTGCAGTTGTGGCTTTATTGAAGGAACTTGGAGCAAGTAAAAAATTAAGTACCATTATTGAAGGAGAATCTTTAATGAATGACGGGTATAGCTTTTTTGTTAAACGTTTGTTCTTTGCTTACTTGGCTACTTTTGGTTAAACATTTTTACTCATGAATCTTCTGAAACAACTTGGATCTTAAGCCATTTGTTTAACTTATTAATTATTCAGAATACAATTTTAACCTACATATCCACTTTGGGTTCTGCAATTGCAAATTCCAATACTCCTATGTCAGATTTTTCTTTTTCTTATATTTTATTTTATGAAATTGAGGGTTGAGAAAAATATATTTAGTTGGATTGAGCCCGAGAAATGAGTGAGTTGATGCAGCATTCATATGGTAAGATAGATAATTAATGGAGATAGAATAGATTCCTTCGCAGGTGATATAGTTTTAATTAATGAGATGGTCATTAAAGTTTAGTGAAATGTTTGAACAAAAACAACAACAACAACAACAAAGCCTTAACTGCACTATGTGGGGTCAGCTACATGAATCCATTTTCTCCATTGAGTCCTATTTAGTGTCATATTTTCATTTAGTTATAATAAATTAAGATCATTTTTCATACAATAAGCTTAAGTTTTCCTAGGTTTATCTCTAACTTTCTTAACGTAAGTTGAATCTAAAACATCAACTCCTAATCAGATCATCAGATGGTCGACGTTTAATGTGACCAAACCATCTAAGACGACTCTCTCTAATTTTGTCAGTAACCGGAGCTACACCAACCCTATCGCAGATATATTCATTTCGCAAGTGTAAAACCACTCATCCACCTAATCATTCTCATCTCGGTGTTATGCTTGTCTTTTAAAGGCCAACATTCAACGCCATAGAGCATTGCGGGTCTCACCAACCTCTTATAAATTTTTTCTTTCAGTCTATGTGGTACTTTTCTATCATACAAAAGACTCGAAGCTTTTCTCCATTTCAACCAACCAACTTGAATTCTACTATTAACACCCCATCTATATCACCATTGCTTTGAGCAACAGACCCTAGATATATAAATCGTTTACACTTTTTAATAATTTGATCACCCAAAGTTACACTTCTGTCACTAGAGCTACGCCTATTAAAATTACATTCCATGTATTTAGTTTTAGTTCTACTCAAATGAAGTTCTTTAGACTCTAATGTCGACCTCCATAATTCAAATTTATCCTGGGCGTTTTTCCTGGGCTTTATCTCTCGTCTTTTCCACGAGAAGGATATCATCAACAAAAAGCATACACCAAGGTACATTCTCCCATAAATATCCAGTAAGACCATCCATAACTAAAGCAAAAAGATACGGGCTTAAAGCCTTGATGTAATCCAATGGAAATAGGAAAATGTTTGGTCAATCCACCTTCAGTTCGAACACAAGTAACAACTCCAGTATACATATCTTTAATGACTTGAATATAAGTCATATCAACATCTTTCTTCTCAAAAACACTCCAACAGACATCTCTTGGAACCTTATCGTAAGCTTGTTTTAAATCAATAAAAATCAATTGTAGATCCTCCTTATTAGCTTTAAACTTCTCCATTAAACCTCTTAATAAAAGTATGTCCATGGTAGACTTGCCCGACATAAAACCAAATTGATTATGAGAAATCTTTGTAATATGTCTTAACCTGTGTTCAATTACCCTCTCTCATAATTTTAAAGTATGACACATCAAATTAATTCCTCTATAACTTGCACGCTCTTGTGCATCACCTTTATTCTTAAAAATGGGGATCAAAATACTTTTCCTCCACTCCTCAAACATCTTTTTAGTTTTTAAAATAATATTAAAAAAGTTTAGTAAGCCAAGAAACTCCGAAAACCCCTAAATATTTCCACATTTCAATTGGGAAATCATCAGGTCCTACAGACTTTCCCCCCTTGATTTTCTTTAAAGCCTCCTCAACTTCTTTTTTAAAATGCGACGGTAAAACTGAAATGTTTTATTATTATTAATGATATTAAGACCACTGTGGTCGATCGTATTTTCAGAAACTTCATTAAAAAGTTTGTCAAAATAACTTACCCACCAATGTTTAATATATTTTTTCATGAAAAACAATTTTTGATTTTCATCTTTAATACACTTTACTTGGGTTAAATCTTTGCTTTTCTTTTCTCTTTGTTTGACTAGGTTATACATATATATTTTCACCTTGCTTATATCTAATATATTATAAAGATCACTAAAAACATAATTTTTAGCATCACAGATTGTTTTTTTAGACTCCCTACGAGCTGTTTGATATTTTTCCCAGTTCTCTAAGTTTACAATTAAACCAATTTTTATAACATAATTTCTTATATTTTATCTTTTTTTGCACTTTATTATTCTGCCAATAACTATTTTTATTTATAAAAAAAATTTCTTTTGATTCTCCAAGTATATCTTTTTCTATTTGTTTAATAGTGTTTGTTACTTCATCCTACATAACATTTGCTTTTCATGAACATCCCAAATTTTGAAATCTTGAATTTTACTCGTAAAATATAATTTTATTTGTGTCTTTTAAATTTCTCTATCTAATTTTACGTTGATGAGTCCTAGCATTCTTTGTTTTACAACTCTTCATCTTAAAATCTAAAACTAATAATTGATGTTGTGTACTTAAATCCTCACTTAGAATGATCTTACAATCTTTACAATCTTGACTATATCTTCTTTTCATAAGAAAATAATCAATTTGTGTTTTATTTGACCCATTCTTATAAGTAATAAGATTCTTATCTCTTTTCTTGAATAAAATATTAGTAATAATAAAATCATACGCTAAAGCAAAATTTAAAATGACTTTACCTTCTTCATTCGTCACTCCAAAACCGTAACCACTATGAATATTTCTGAAATCTTCTACCACTCTACTAATATGTCCATTTAAATCTCAACCAATAAAAAATCTTTCTTCAAGAGGTATCGTTTGTATTAAGTTTTCTAAGTCATTCCAAAATTTAACTTTAGTCCCTATATTTAGACCTGCCTGAGGAGCATAAACACTTATAAAATTAAAAATCTTAGAATCAATAGTAATCTTACAGGCAATAATTCTATCACCAACTCTATTAATTTTTACAACAATATATTTCAAATTCTTATCTTTAATCACACTTACACAATTTCTAGTGCGATTCTTACCAGAATACCAAAGTTTAAAGCCTAAGTTTTCAATCTCCTTAGACTTTTCTTCCACCCATTTAGTTTTTTGAATAAATAAGATATTAATTGACCATTTAGTCCGAAGTAATGATCTTCTTTAAGGGTTTGATTGGTGCTATAACAGTAACTCGATTCAACGGGGATATTTATCCTCCTATATTTCCCTTCACTTGCTCGTTGTCGTCCCACCTACGCCAACCGTTCTTGTTTTCACATTCGCCAATCCCTCTATCGTAACCCCTCCCCTTCCTATTTTCATTGTCGCCAAACCCTCTCCCATTACCACCTGCTACATTCCCTCTTCTGAAACCCCTTCTCTTCCTAGATTCCCTGCCGCCAACCCAAGATCCCCTTCCGTTGTCTCCCCAAACCCCTCTACTTCTCAATTTGGTGCCATCATGTCCATTCCAATCCCGCTGCCCCCATGGCCTTCTTGAACCTGCTTCCTTAGCCCACTACACCCGACTACTTGCCGTCGTAACCCACTATCCACCTTCGTTTCGACCATAAACCTCCACTTCCATCTACCTCACTGCTGTACTATAACTCCTCCCACACCCTTTACCGCTGCCGCAACCTCAGTCCACCATCTCTCTTGCCACTCAACCGAGATTCGCAACCTTCCACTCGCCCAAAGGGTTTTTTTATGTTGTGTTTGTTAATTTTGTATTGTCAAGAGTCCTTGTGTGTAACCTTGTTGAATTTCAACAATAATGGTTTCATTTCTATTATGATTTGGGTTAAGTCTGATATCATTCAGTATCTGTGTTGGCATAATCTTAGTCATATTCTTAGGGTTTCATAGCATTCGCCTTATTCCTCCACCAAAAAAATTCTCTCATTCTCAAATCATATCCAAACTTTGACCGAACTCTGATTTCCACTTGCTGATTTTCAAAATCAGCAATTCTAAATCAATTTTTACACCATTTTTCACCTCCCCACTCTAAACTCAAGCCATGCCCCCAAGAAAATATATGCCCAAGCCTATTGAGGAAGAGATACAACTAGAGATCCATCAACTTCAACGGAGACTTGCAGACATTGAGGATGAAGCCTAGACGGGACTTACCCTCAACGGTGACATGGAATGTGGAAGATGCGAAAGAGACGAGAATTTCAACCTTTTTGAAAGGGATGATTTCAGTGATGAAAAAGAAAGGCTATGACTTTTTGGAATCCAGTATTTGAGTAGATCAAGAGAGGAACCCACATATGGAGGACACAGAGACTTTAGATTAAAGGTGGATCTACCAAAATTCGATGAAGGTATGGATCTAGATGATACCCTTCTTGTTGTCACCCCGAACATGTTGCCATCATATCCTTCCCCAACTGCTGCCCCATGTCCTTCACCAACTTGCTTCCTTAGGCTACTACACCCGACCACCTTCTGTCGTAACCCTCTATCCACCTTCCTCCCAACCATAAACCTCTACAGCTGTACCATAACCCTTCCACACCCTCTACAGCTGCCGCAACCCCAATCCACCATCTCTCTTGCCGCTCGGCCGGGATTTGCAACCTTTTCCCTCGATCTCACCCTTGTCCTCGCCTTCGCCCTTGCTCTAAGGGATCTTTTATGTGATGTTTGTTATTTTTCTCTTGTCAAGAGTCTTTATGTGTAACCCTGTTGAATTTCAGCAATAATATTTTTATTTTGTGTTGTGGTTTGGGTGAATTCTGATATCACTTATGTTTGATAAATTTAAGTATTTTCAAACTATTATGGAAATTAATGAAAATGTAGATGAGTATGTACCTTTTGAAGTTAATATTTTGGTAAGTTAAAATGTAGAAGTGCCATGGAAATTTTGTGTGATATGAAGATAATATCCTGAAGGCTTAAATTTAAATTTTATAAAATTGTTGGGCCAATAATAGTGTTT